AATGAGATAATATTTGTAAAGTGCTTTGCAATCCATGAATGTTTCAAAAAAGCTTAAACGATAAATGTTAGCTATTTCAATCAATAAACATTTACAAAGCACCTACTATATACCACACATTATGCTATGTGCTATTTATGAAGCACCTACTATATACCCCCTTTATCTTAAAATTTCATTCCTGTTAAAATATAAAACAAAACAAAAAATTCTACCCAAGTGACAGTTTATGCTATCCAATTCTATTATCCCAGGTTCTAATCCCAATTCTGCTACTTAATGAATTGGTGAAGAAGCAAAAAAATCTAAAGTGATCTTAGGCTGCTTTAGTAAAACAATAGGGTCCAGGGGCAGCTAGGTGGCACAGTGGATAGAGCACTGGCCCTGGAGTCAGGAGGGCCTGAGTTCAAATCCAGCCTCAGACCAAACACTTGGCACTTACTAGCTGTGTGACCCTGGGCAAGTCACTTAATCCCATTGCCTAGCCAAAAAAAAAAAAACACAAACAAAAAAAAAATAGGGTCCAGATGAAGGCTGTGATCATTTTGCTGTTCTCTGCCCTTGCACCATGTCTGGGATATTGTGTCCAATTCTGAGCTCCAAATTTCATGGAACGTATCGACAAACTGGAATGCACGCACAGGAGTGGTCATCACGATGTGGAGGGAACCAGAGAACTATGTTTATTGTTATGCATCCTTTGTTCTCCAAAAGGATCAATCACAGTCAGGAGAGTAATGTCTTGACTTACAAGTGAATTGGATTTAAGTGAGTCAGAGCTTACAAAGTCATCAGCCTCACTCTCTCCTTCAGAGTCATCAGAGTCTAGTGACAAGGTGTAAGTCAAGACGATTGGCAATGCCCCCACAACAGAGACCTAGGAGGATCTACTAAAAGAAGTAGGCATGCTTAACCTAGAGGAGACTGGGTATTGGGTGAGGTGGGTACATGATAGCTATTTTCAAGCATTTGAATGTCTTTCATGTGGAGGAGGGCAACAACGGATTGATCATAGGGCCTGGAGTCAAGAGGAACTCTTCCTGAGTTCAAATATATGTGACCCTGGGCAAGTCACTTAACTTTCTTTGCCTTGGTTTTCTCATCTGTCAAATGAGCTGGAGAAGGAAATGGCAAACCACTCCATTATTTTTGCTGAGAAAACCCCAACTGGGGTCACAAAGAGTTGGACATGATTAAAACAACTGAAAAATAACAATAACATGTGAAGGGGAGATTAGCCTTGTTCAGTTTGACTCTAGAAAGCAAAACTAGAAGCAATAGATAGACGTTGTTGAGAGGCAGATTTCAAATTGTTCTAAAGAAATGCTGCTGAATGAACAACTCAAGTTATCCCAAAGTGGGGTGTGTTGCCTCATTAAATAGGGAGTCCCTCTCATCCCTGCATCTTCTCCATATTGCTGAGGAAGCAGGATGAACATTCATTATGGTAGAGGTGATTCCTCTTCAGACACAGATTGGACTGGATAGTTTCTTAATTCCATTCCTACTCTGAGAGTCCATGATTTTGTGATCTCTAAGGCCCTGTTTCCCAAGCTATCAAAAGAGTGGTAGGATGAGATGATTTCTGAGGTCCTGTCTAGTTCTAAAATTCTAAAAACCTATACCTTATGCCTTAGTATGCTGAAAGATGTAAAGCAGGTTCTGATAGGGGTCAGGAGGACAGATAAATAGGGATTCTGGATATCAGGGAGAACAGGAGGGACAGTCTTCAAAAGAGATCAATTGACAGATCCAGGAGGTAAGAAGAATCCAAGGCACACTTTCCTTACTTTGTTTTATTGTCGAGGATTGGTATTGTTTGAGATGCATCATGAAAAATAAAGTGACCTGGGTTCTAGTTCTTCCTCTGATAATACTGGTTGTTTGACTAGGGCAAGTCTTTTAACCCTTCAATGACTTAGGCAATCCTCTAAGCCTGCAAGTTGCAGAGAAGGTGATGACTTGCATTGGGTAGAAAGAATTTAGTCATCTAGAAGTTCCCTATATGCATGGTCTACTTCTAGCCCCCTAGCCCCTAATTAAGATACCACGTATTTCTATACAAACCTTCTGCAACAAAAACCTTCTGCAAAAGCTATGTCTACACTGTACCAAAACATGAATAGAAAGTCAGCTACCCAGATATTTTGTTCATCAATGCCAAACATCTGGATTCTTTCACCCTTCCAAACATTCATATCACATTTTTCTCCTTGTAGCCATAAGAGGCCAACTGAGAGATTGCCAGCACATTTTTTCTTTTCTCTAGTAGGTTTGCACTTGTATTTGTAAGGTCATAACAACAGAAAACAAAGATATATTGGCAGCAAGGCACAATGCCTTGCTCTTAGTAGGTGCTAAATAGCTATGTGTTTAATGAATGAGCATCTAAAGAATTATGTTATTACTCTGCAAAAAGCCAATAGCCCTTCTTGCAAGTAATGTTTAACTAACTCGTAAGCTAGCTGACAGTTTTCAAGTCTAGCCCAATTAGAATTAGTAGAAAAGAATTTTGTTGGTCAAGATTTAGCTTTACAGAATTTGCTCAGTGAGGACCTGCTAAGGCTAGACATGAAAACATGCCAGGGATGCAAGATTTATCTTTGAATGTGTGTGTGCGCGTGAATATGTACATGTGTATATCTGGGTACTGCATATACTTTGTACACACATGTATGTGCATGTGTGTTATATGTGGGTATGCTGTCACTTGGATACTTTTGTATGACTCATATGAATTCCTATGGAGCTGCTCCCACAAGGACCTGGGATCTAGGGGGAAAAGATGGCATCTTTCCTCCTACTTTGTGCTGCTATGCTGACGCACACTTTATTCCAGATATTACACTTCTCTAAGTGCTTGAAGAGAATGGCTGGGTAGATATTTGGGGAGCTCCTTGTTTAGAAGGCAAAGATATAGTAAAGGTGATTTAAATTTTTCATTTCATTCCAGGATGCTTTCCAACGCTTCTGTAAAGGTAGACCCCAAAGTTCTAGGGTAGGCTCTTGGTAATTAAGAAGGGGAATTAAAAATTAACACACATGTGTGAGCATGCATGACTATGTCTTCTATCTGCCTCACTCCCCGTCCTGAACTGGTTACCTAATTTAGGTTCCATTCTGGTGTACTTTGACATTCCCTGGAATTATAATTCAGGATATTTTCCTCATCACTGTCTTTCTCTCTCATCAATATGTTTTATCAGGACCCATTTGTTATCACTCTATAGCTTCAGTTTTCACTTTATTTTCAAGCAGTGCAAATTTACCACCTATGGCCTTGAGCCTTGTATCATTTGTCTTGTTGCAGTCCCAAATCGCAGCAGCTGTGTATCAGGCTGATAATTCCCTTCTGAGACCTAGAAGTTGCTTGCTCTGCTACATTCAACTCAATGGGACTTAATCTTAAAATTAGTGAGAAATATCTTTAAAAAACACTGACGTGTTTCATTTGACTTTATCAACAATGGACTTATTTCTCTAATGTAGGGCAAGCATTAATAATGGTTAAGTGTTTCAACTGTGGTTTCATGCTGAAATTTATGAAGCATAGCTTATTAGTTGTAGTGATGACAAATATTTATATAGGGCCTTAAAGTCTGCAAAGCATTTTAGAGAAAATTTCATTTGATCCTCACTGTAACTATGAAGTAGGTACTATTAATATTCTCACTTTTTAGATGAGGAAATAAGAATTAGAACTTTTAAGATATGTCGCATTCATTTCAAACATTCCAATTCCAAGCCTGGAAGGTCATAGTCAACAAGCATTTATTAAGCACCTACTCTGTGCCAGTTAATTCTAGCATATTTCCTTTTTTTCCTTCAAACTTTCCTAGGCCCCAATTATCCATAATTGTAGAAATCTTAGGGGATGGTGTGGGAGGAGAAGTAAAAGAGGATTTATTATCTGAATATCTCAATTAATGACTAATCTTCCATCTCATGTTCTAGGTTTGGCAGGTTCCTGTTTCCTGATTCAGGAATGGCTCTTTAAGAAATCTAAATACTTTGAGGGTTCTCAATTTAAAAAAAATATATATCATAAGCAGCTGACCATTTTATTTGATAGATTTCAATGCTTTCTGGCAGCTATATTGAATGTGGTAGAGTCATTCATTTCCTTTCTCCTCAGAGTCAATTAAAAACTTTTCAGCTATTGTCTCCATTTGATTCTCATTTTCTTTTTTCACATGGTTACTTATTTTATTCTTGGCCTTTTTCGGATTACTTGTTTATGTATGTATTACTTGGGAGTTGCTATTGTTTAAAATTTTCTAACATACCTAATTTAAGTGTCCTTTGCCAAAAACAAACAAACAAACAAGCCATAAAGTCTTGCATCTATGTAGGATATTGTTGTACGTTTTATGATGTGTGCTACTGAAATCATAGCTAAGAACCAATGTACATATTGGATGATTGAAATAAAAATTGCCGAATAGTCTATTTGCACGTGTTAATTTATTTTCCTTCTTTCATCATAATCACCAGTCCCAGTATCTGAGTTACTTAGGGCTACAATAGTAGTTCAAGAAGCTAGCATTTTTAATCCAGGATAAAATCGTTTTTCCAAAAGTCATTATTAATGAATACATTTTCATAGGATAATGATTTCTTAAAGTAAACTATTGTCTGGAGATAATAACCTTTCACACTTCTTATGCCAAATTCTCTATAGAACACATTCATGGGAGTCCACTAACTAAAAACATTTAAGGTTGGGGTTTGCATTTAAAACATGAAGCAGCTGATGAAATTGTCACTCTCTCTGTGACAGAAAAGAGTAAATTTTTTTGCCTCGTGTTTTTAGCCAGAGAAAGAGAACAAAGTGACCTGTGAACTGCCCACCAGACATCATCTGTGAATATTAACAATAGCTCTAGAGGAAGAAAGATCCAGGAAGTTTTTCTAAGGAGAAAAACCACAAAACATAAGAATGAAAAGAGCCCAGAACACTTCGCAAATTCTTTAAAATGACTCATCAGACAAACATGTCAGTAATTCCAAGATTTCACCAGATGGCTGGTTTGGTGTCAGTCTTGATTCTTCAGTACTCAAGTGGAGGTAAGCCATCTTTCTTCTTTTATAATACAGTTTATCTTGTCCTTTTTTACAGTATGTGCAAGTGAGAGGTGTATGCTAGTAGGCCTGTAGAAATTGACTCTTGAAATAATACTTACTCAAACCCTGTGCAGTAGGTCAAAAATTTCAAGTGGCAAGTCATTTGATTGTTTTCTGGCCCAAGTACATGAGGGAGGAAAGGGCAGAGTCACAACTCTGCCTATAATAGTAGAAGTACCTCTAAGGTTCTTGCTGGATTTCAGCTTTAAATATCATATTTGGGGGAATATGCAGGTGGAATAAATTCAGATATTACCCCTAAATTCTATTAGATGTTACTCATTACTCATTTTTATTATCTATACTGCTCATGGACAATTGTCAACTGTCTTTTGATACTTACTGTGCTTTATTTATTTGATGTATCATTATGTAACACACATGATTTAATTCTGTATGTAATCATTATACCTTATGTTCCCAACTAGACTGTAAGCCCTTTGGGCAAAGACACCGTGTCTTATACCTGCACTCTTACAATATTTGCTGATTCATCTCCCTACCTGTAAGTCTCCACTCTCCAACCGAACCTCCACAAGTGATATTCCAAAAGCAAAGGTATGGCCATTTCATCCCCTGCTCTAGCAGATCCTATTGCCTCTAGGATAAAATATAAGATTCTTCTGTTTGGTATTCAAAGCCCTTCACAATCTGATTCTCCATACCTCACCAGTCTTACTGTGTATTATTCCCCTTCGTGCATGCTGTGTATCCACCTAAACTGGCTTACTTATTGTTTCTCATATCTGACACTACTCCAGTCACCTAGATACCAGACACTGAGGTCCTTTCTTGAACTAAACTGCCAAGCATTCAAACTCTACTTCAGAGAGTGCAACTCCAATGGGCTGGCCATGCTGTTCGAATACAAAATATATGTTTGCCAAAACACAGGGCAAGTGTTCACATGGTGGTCAGAAGAAGCGATACAAGGACACTCTCAAGGTCTCTCTTAAGAACTTTGGAAGTGATTGTTGTGACATGGGAGACACTGGCACAGGGTCACTCAGCATGGCATGGCCACATCAGAGAAGGTGCTGTGCTCTATGAGCAAAGCAGAATTGAAATAGCTCAAGAGACACGCATGGTACACAAACTTAGGGAATCTACCCCAAAGGTTCATACGGACTATTTGTGCCCGACCTGTGGTAGAACATTCTGAACTCTTATTGGTCTGATCAACCATAGTTAGACACACTAAAACTTGACTCCAGCATAGTGATGTTACTTTGGTCCTCTTCAAAAACAAAGGACAAAAACCAACCAACCAACATTCATGAGTGTATATGTGTGTGTGTGTGTGTGTGTGTGTAGACACACATGTATATGTATGTACTTGTGCAAGACTATCATTTATTTCACTATCAGCTTGTAGTTCTAAAGAAACTAGAGCATCTAGGGCAGGGTCATCCACCAATGGCATGTGTATCTAAGATGGCACACGGTCTGCTTCTCAATGGACCTCTGGCTACTTTCCACCATCTCTTTTACCTCTTGCTTTCCTATGTTCCTGCCCTTTTCAAGAGTTAGAATATTCCTGTAGACCCCCCCCAGCTCCCCCAAAATTCAAGAGAATGTATTTCACATGTTCTCCCCCTCATCCCTAATCAGTCCATCCTTAAAGTCACCATATTTATACCCCTGCCATCAGTGGTTGGAAATTATAGATGACATTAAAATATTACTGATCACTGTTATGGAACATCCATAGTGATTATGTTGCATCTAACTGATTCAATTTGGGGTTTTCTAAATGGTGCTAACAAAACTGGGGTTCCCGTAGAGTTCAAGGTACATCACATTTTGGAATTATATTTCAACTGTGCAAATGGAAGTTGTTATTTAAAAGAACCCTCAGATATAAATTAAATTAAGTTCAACAAGTATTTATTGAGTTCCAGTCAAGAGCCGTTTTGTAGTGAGTATAATTGTCTCCTGACTTATCAGTTTGTCCGTTTGAATTTTTCCACAACAAATTCCATTAAAGGAAGATTTTATTTGAAAGCTTATTTATTTATATCATGCATAACAACATGCTTTGCAGCCAGTCATAGGAGGCATTATTTTCATTAATGATGGGTGGATACCTTTCCAGTTTTAGAACTGAACCTAAAACCAAAATGTTTAGATCACTATATTTTGTACTTCCAGTTTTTGGCTGCAGCCAAAAGTTCATGAAAGAACTAATGCTTGTGGAATTTTCAAATTGAAATCTGCAACAGCAAGAAGTTTGCATAATCTTTAGCTAAAGACTAAATACTCTTCTGATAACTTCCATGAATCCATGTGGATGAAGGAGAAATGAAACACTCTGGCTAACAGGAACCTAACTCTGGTCAACTCTTCCTATAAGAATGAAAGGCATGCATGCCTGCAGAAACAAGACAGGATATATGTTGCATATTAATTTCCCTATGTTTTTGGAATTAGGGGATTTTAATGGAACTCTACATGTTTGTTCCAGCTCCTTGGATAACAATTCTCTCGGAACTGGTACTATGGGGAAGTCTGTCAGAAAGATCGGCTTTACTGAGGCCTCCCATCCCTGGTTTATAAAAGATATGACAGGAAAATGAGCCTAATGACTAGGACTTGCTAGTTGATACTCTGAACTTATGACAAATTCAAGTCTTTATTGTAGATACTGGTTGTGAAGAATTTTGACTTTGGCAAATCAGACAGAGAGAATCCCAGCCGATCCAAGATGACTGTCCTTTGTTTGACATTGCTACCTCTGTTCCCATTCTTTCTCAAAGATAGCAGAATGATCAGGAAAACCCTAGATCAATTTGTCTAGGGCATCTTCTATGGTGATAAGCACTCATGCTGTGGTCCCATGGGGATATATCAGCACTGAAGGACTTGTGTTTTGGGATAAAAAAGGTACTTGTGAGTGAGGAAGGGCTTTGTCAGAGATGATTGAAAATTGTTGTACAGGAAGGGAATGTTTATCCTAGAAAGTAATTTCAAAGTTCCCCTTGGTATTGACCTCTAATCAATCTACCACCAACTAACAAACATCTATTAAGCAATTCCTATGTACTAAGCACTGAGCTAATCATTGAAAAACAAATGAAAAACAAAAAAGAAGGAAAAATAATTCCTGCCCTAAAGAAGCTGACATTCTAATGGGCAGGGACATTTCGATGAAATCATGAGATCATAGACACAGAATTGAAAGGGTCCTCAGAAGTCACCAAGCTCACCATCCTCCTTTTACAAATAAGGAAATTGAGGCCCAGGAATGCTAAGTTCATTACCCAGGATCATACAGGCAGTAAGCATCAGAGGTGAGATTTGAACCCAGGTCCAGCACTCTTTCTCCTATACCACACCACCTCTCTAATACCTCTGTGTCTTTTTAAAGTGAGGCTACTAATCCATTGCCCTTTCTCTGCTCATGGGAGTGTTGGTGGTATTCATAATAACCATACTCTCTTCCAAGGTCTCAGGGTCTGGCACTAACTTCTCCAATGATTCAGGGACAATTTCCTCCTTTTAGCTTCATCTCATAAGGAGAACTCAGTTGTCTCACCCACAAGAGAACTTTCCTCTGTGTCCTCCAATCTGCAGGCCACAGAATCAGGGCTTAGAGGACAGGGGAGAAAACATTTATAAGCATTTGGGCAACACAGTGGTATGCTTCAGACCACTAGGAAAACCTCCACTCACTTCTTACTGGAGTAGAAAGGGGTTTTAGTATACATTATATTGTATTATCTTTCATAAAATTATAGAGCTTGAGCTTGAAGGAACTTCAGAAACCATCTGATCCAACACTCTCCTTTTTACAGATAAGGAAACTGAGGCCAAAAGTAGTTAAGTGACTTACCAAACATTGTACAGGTAGTAAGTGCCAGAGGTAGTATTTGAGCAGAACATTTATTTAATTTCTGGGAAATGAAATAGTTCTTTTGAAACAACTACCATCCTCCCTCTCCTATCCTTTTAATCACCTCCCTCCCCTTTTATTATCCTTCTCTTTTCCCCTCTCTCTCTCATTTTCTTCCTTTCTCTCCCTCCTTACTTTCCACTCCAATGTTGAATAGGTTTTCAGGAATTCTCCAAAAATGAAACTCATTGACACCTTTCGTAGTTAGTGAGCTGGTTTCTCTGGCATTGTCCTGTGGGACTGAGGCAGGCCCTTCGCTGCAGGGGATCACCTGCTGCTCTGAGCAATGGTCCAGAAAGCTCTGATTTAATCTGACAGGCATCTTTGTTGATTCAAAGGAATTCAAGCCTGGTATTTTACCCCTCCAGTGCTAAGTCTGACTCTGTCTGAGGCTGCAGAGTCCTCTTGTTGAGCTCAGGGATGGACTGAAGACCATAACCACCAAAAGGAAGATCTAGAGCCACTTGAGCTCTAAACAGAAGCAATACTTGTTTCTCTACTTAGAAACTAACAAACAGAAGAATTTTAAAATACCTCAAACATTTGCCACCCTGAAAGACCCATAAAAACTCCCACATAAAGGACAACTGCAAGAGTACCTTAGATCATCTTCCTACAGTCACAGAGTACTGCAGATACAGTGAGCAATTGTATCTCCCAACATAATTGGGACCCTCTTAAAATCCTTAGGGCTTCAGCAGGGAAAACTCATTTGTAAGAGAAAGAGCTGAATGCTTACAAATAACTCCTTTGGCGTTTGTTTCACTGGAAACTCTGGTCTACATCTCCAAGTTGGTGGCTCCCTGAGATGACCTGATTTGCTACGTTGCCTTCCTGTCTAGGAACCTAAATAATGTCTTCTCTCTAAGGTTGTCTAATTCATTGTTAATTAATGATTTAATTCAGAGGTAGTTGATTCACTGACTAATCAGACATAATGTAGACAGGGTCCATGGATCTTGATCCTTCTCTGTGCCATGATAAAGATTGGATCATAAGTCTTGACCTAGAAGTGACCTCAAAGACCATCTAGGCAACCTCCTCATTTTACAATTCAGAAAACTGATGCTCAGGGAGTAACTTGCCCAGATCATTCAGGTAGGTAATGTCAAAAGTGGGATTCGAACCCAGGTCCTCTTATTCTACAACCAGTGCTTTTTCACTGCCTCCTAACATGACAGCTGTTCAAGAAACACTTACTCAAGTCAAATCAACAAGCATTTATTAAGCACCAACTACATGCCAGGCCCTGGGCTGAGTTAAGAATGCAAAGAAAGGTGAACAAAGACAAAAAACTTCATCCCTGCTATCCAAGAGCTCTGGGAAATGAAACAGTTCTTTTGAAACAACTACCATCCTCCCTCTCCTATCCTTTGAATTGCCTCCCTCCCCTTTTATTATCCTTCTCTTTTCCTCTCTCTCATTCTCTTCCTTTTTCTCCCTCCTTGCTTTCCACTCCAATGTTGAATAGGTTTTCAGGAATTCTTTCATCCCAGGACCTACATGTTTGTTGAAAAACTTTGATTAAAATTCTCCTTGTATAAATATTTTAAGGTTAAAGCCTGAAACCTCAACTATTAAAAATAATTTATTTAAATAGCATATTATATGATGCTACCAACCTTCTTAAGGATAGGATAGCAGCAATAGCTACTTCATGGATAGC